AGCAGCAGTCTCAGAAATGCCTCCCTGTTTTCAAGACCAGTGTTCCCAGATCCAATCAGACACAAGGCTATGAACCATAGGAGGATTTAGATACAGTTTTAAGAAGGAAATATTAAGCGTGGGTTCCTGGGAGAGATGCTTTGGGGGGGACCTGCTAAGGAACCAGCTGCCACCCAGGTATTGGGACATGCGGGAGAGCAGGACCATCACTTCCCTCACTCAGGACTGTGCTCCGCCACGGGCTCTTCTCAAGCAAGAGCTGCCAGTTGCTGTCTCTTATTTCCATTTCCCTCAGGACTCCACAAGAGCACACACGCCAGCCAGATTTGTTGTCAGAATCGGCTCAGTTGCTTTGGCACAAATATTTTTCGCTCCAGCTAAAACGTTCTAAAATATTCCAGATAAATACAGAAGATGGGGACTGCTTATCTAGGGAAACAACCTGGCCAGCAGCACGTGACCAGCGGATTAAGCCCGACGCACCCTTTCCTTTTAGAAATCAGATGCAAAGACACATAGAACAATCTGATTATGGGGAAAAAAATAGTGAAAAGGGGTTATTTTTATGCACCACTCCTCCCTACCTTTCCTTTATGACAAAGAACCCACAAATAAATGCCATGCCAGGGTTCTATGTTTTACCTTGTGGATTAAGGGAAAAAAGAAAGGAGGAGTGGGGGGTGTCCTAAGTTGCTTTTCACCTTTCTTCAGGATTTTTGCAAAATAAAACTGTAAAGCTCTGAACTCAGAATTACATGCCACAGTAAAAAGAAAATCTATGCCTGATCATTTCCAAGCAGTGAGGTGAGGACAGTTCCTGACGAAAGGCTGCCCAGCAAACAGCACCAGGAAGGATGGTGAAACACCGTAACAGACCACAGCATAAAGGAACAGCGCAGCAGAAGCAACCAACTGATCTTCCCATTGCAAGTTCCTCTTGTCCTTTTAAAATTTCTCCTGGACAACCAGGATATTACATTCCCAACAGGAAGAACCCATATAATCCACAGTACTATAAAGATACTCTAAATACCCATTTCTCCTGCATCTCCAGTGTGAAGCAAATAACACTATGACTCCATGAACAGTTTTTTCATCATTTCAACAAGAAAAGGTTGCAATCGCTGCATGTGCCCCTGGGAGAGTGGAGAGCACCATTCTCCAGCTGCTGGGGAACAGAGAGCACGAGCAGCTACTGGAAAGCAGCAGACGACACTACTTCACAAGCCACCATAAAATTACCACCGTGCCTATGGGAACCCTTTCACATAAATCACAGGGAGGCACAGCAAAGCTGCAGGTCCAGTTCTGCAAGGCTTTGCTGGTGTGGAGAGCTGCAACCAGCCCCGTAGGACAGCCCCGCCAGCAGAACACCGCCGGGGCACTCCTGGGGGGATCTTCTCACACAGATCAAAGGCCTGCCTTAAAATATACCTCCTCTTCTACTAATAATCTCCTGGTCAACTGCAAAGGCAGCAGGGCAGCTCTTGTTGGCACATCTAAACCAGAGAGTGAAACAAGAGTAGCCATTCTTCAGCAGAAGCAAGCTAGCACGACACAAAAGAAAAAGGAGGATTAAAAATTCAGGTTTAGTATATTACAAGGATAATTAAGAACAGTTTGTATCAAGAATGCCACACTCAGTGTGCCCAGGACTAAACAACTGGGTTTCCCGTAGCCAGATCTTCCAAGTAAAAAAGCGGGATGATTGCTTTGATCCCACTAGCAGGAAGAAGCTAGAGGAGAGGCCAAGACCTGAAGACAGGTGACAACGATGCAGCAGCAATGTCAGTGCTGCATTCAGCCTTCTGCTGCAGAAAAGTGGCCCAGGACAACAGAAATAAAGTTGTTCTTCATTCATTCAGCAATTCCTGCAAATGCCCATGCCCTGCAGTTTCATAAGGTAAATGCACAACGCCACACTTAACACAGAGGGAAATCACCAAGTTCAAGGTTTAACAAGCCATGACGACAACCAGGCAGTTACTTGGTTACACAGATGCTGTTCATGGCCATCCACCAACTCCAGGAGAAAGCTTTGGATCGATCCTGCACTGATTACAGCTAGCACCAGCCTGCAGGATGTTCTTAACAGTCATGAAATCTAAAAAAAAAAAAAAAAAAAAAGCCAGCTTTTCTCTCCTGGTGGCAGGTTTTCCCCAGAACCTAACAAAAACAAGGCGATTTGGGGAATCCAGAAAAAAAGTACGTACAAGAATACTGACTTGTGCTTCCCCCCCCCTTTCATATTTCTCTCAATTTAGAGAAGGAAACACGACTGTCCATTTCACCCAGGTGCTACTTGTCCCTCATGCCCCGATTTTCATGCAGAGTCTTTTTTCTGCCAACACAAGCACCAGGTGCTTTAGTGACAGGCGAAAACGCACCTCTGCCCCACAGCACCCGCTGAGGACATGGCTGCTCTCAGCAGCACGCACAAACACCAAGTCACCATCGACTTCTAATCGAATCAACAAGACAAAACAAACAAACTCAGCTACTAAAAGCTGCCAATTATTGTGGGCTTAAAAAGAACACACTTTTTTCTTAATTTGCTAAAATGTTTTGCTCTCCTGAATTCTGCAAGGAAACCCACACAATGAAGAGCTGATTGCAAAGAGGAAATGGGGAACCTGATTATACACAGAGCGCTGTCAAATGCACCAAGTAACCTGACAAAATAGAGAGAAACATTTCTTCTTTGCTCTTTCTGACGTTGTGATTGCAGGTGCTGTTTGCAAAGCACAGGGTGACGATCCTGATGTGGGGCCTTCCAGTCAGCGGCGTTCCCCCATGTGAAGGAAAATATGTGTGTAATCCAATTTTGGAAATAAATGCCTTGTGAAATAGTTTTTCTCCAAAGAGGCAGACCCTAAGCTCAGTGTCAGGCTGCCACAGCTTTGCATGCCCAAGAGTCCCCCTCGGACAGCACCAGCCTGTTACAGTGTCCCAACGCAGAACTGAGATGAAGATGAGCATGACCATTCCCCCGCACAGCAGACGGGAGCCGGGCACTGCCCTGGCTGTACCACAGCACCCTCCACGTGTCCCAGGGGATGTGCCACACAGAGCGCCTGCACTAACACATGCACACAGGGGCCAGCACCCACGTGGGGACCATCCCAGGTCCTTCCCCAGGTGGGGAGCATGGCACATCGGTGGGGCCAGGGCCAGCAGCGTGAGCCCTGAGGAGGCTGGGGGGACCCCAGCATGCAGGGCATGAGGGTGTCCTGCTGCACGGCGGTGTCCCAGCATGCTGGACACAGGGACGGGGAGCAACGGGGCTGCCCTGGAGATGGGTGATTTCTTTTACTGGGCACAGAGGTGATTGGAGTGCCCCGACATGCAGGGCACAGGGGCAAGGAAGGCCATGGGGTGCCCCGGGGTGGGGGACATAGGACAGGGAAGCGATGGGGTGCAATGCGGTGCCCCGGGGCGTGGGGCACAGGGACAGAGAACTCATGGGGTGCCCCGGGGTGCCGGGCACAGGGGCAGAGAGGCGATGGAGTGCCCCAGGTCACCGGGTTAACGGGGACTGCCTGGTGCACTGGGACGGGCGGTGCGGGGACACCCCGTCGCACAGGGAGAGGGTGGCACAAGGCCGGGAGGTGACAGGGGTGCCCCAGGGAACCGGGAACGACGAGGCGAGCCCCGGGGTGCCTCCGGGGGATGCCCGCTGCGGTCCC